GGCCCGGAACAAAAAAATATTGCAACCGCGTTCGTCTTAGTATTGTCTAAGGATTCGTTGAGAAAACGTGGAATGATCGCCCGCTCGGTGACGTATCAAAAAGGAATTCAACTCTCCATTGAGAGCGATTTACAGCATTCTTTAACTAATTTCGAGCTACATCACAAGTTCAGCTGAAGCTTCAGCAGAGAAATGACGCTCCCTCAATATCATTTCAAAATCACTTCTACCTAGTCTAAAAGCTACAACCTAGAATCTATTGCGTGTAAATAAGCAAAACTACAGTTACAAAATCAAACCAAAGCTAAATTACAAAATAAAATAAAAACAGTGTCAAATGAGGGGAAGAAACACATAATCTATTGACAAAGAGCTAAGAACCCGGTCAAACTAAAAAGTGAAACCACCAGAAAGACGACCACTAAACGCTATGCTACAACAACATACCACAAACCAACAACAAGATCGCAGAGACTGAAGGCAAAAAGCCGCAGGCAAGCACATTGCACAAACAAACTTAAACAAAGAATTAAAAAAACAACAACATATTTGAAACTATACGTTTTACTAGCAAAAAGGCAAAAGCAAAAAAACATCGACAACAAATATTTAAAAACAATAACAACAACTATTGAAGCTTAAAAATTATAATCGCCAACAAGAATGTGGGAATCAACGTGGCCAGAGGGCGGAGTGTTGGCGAGTACGAGTATAGAACGCCTCGTTAAATGCGTCAAATGAAATGCCCCAGTCGTGACCATCAGCCACCAGCCATCAGCCATCAACCATCAGTTGGCAGGCATGGCAAGCCCACACACATACACACACATACACACATGCAAACAATTTATGTATATGTGGGTCAAACGAAAAATAAATAAATAAATAAAATATACTAGTAGGTATGTAGTCCATAGAATACGCGTTGAAAGGAAAATCGGACGACAAAGAAAAAACAGCCGCAGCAAGGCTTTTATGCAAAGAAAAAAAAAAAAAACAAAAACAAAAAAAAAATATCACCACAAAGAAAAAATATTTTGTAAAGAAATCAGGAAAATCTTTAAGAACTTTTAAGAAGTGGTTGGTTGAAAGAAAACGCAGAAAAGCGATAGAAAAAGTGAAAATAAAAGTAAAAGTGTAGAAGACTGTTTGCTCTTCAACGCTTCAACGGGGACTTTGATTCTAGCAGCGAATAAGCGTCGAGCTTGGCTCCTTGAAAAACGCACACACATACAAAAATATACACAGTTAGCTCCACAGCTACTAAACAAGCGAAAAATATCTTTAGAAAGCATTGCATATCACATAAACATATATGTATGTAAGTATTTTCTATATTGAAAGCTAAAGTTAGGGCTTAAGCGGGTTTACCAAAACCAAAACATTAACGGTTTCAAAGTCGATGTAGTGCATAGTTGAAAGAATCGAGTTTACTAGGTTCGGAGGTTGGTTAAAGACTCAACTCAAAAATTTTCAAAATCATATTTCCGGCATAGTTCACAGTACACTTTGCTAGCGTCTGCGAAGAAGTTAGTTTTAAGTTAGTCTTCCTTAACTGGAAATGCACCGATTGTACCGCCCGCAAACATTTGAGATCTTTTGACCTATGAAGGAAGGCCAGGGTTCCCGTCTTGGTCCGACCAACACCCAAAAATTAAGTTAAATTTTTTAATTGCGGTTGCCCCACGGCAAGTACATATCCGAGTGCATTTCGGACATGAAACGTAGGCACCCCATAAAAACCCCCCAGCCATTCCGAGGTGGCTTAGTATAACTTTAGGTCTCGCCATTTGTTGGAAAACATCAAGAGGCATAACACAAATTGTGTCTGAATCTCAGTAGTAAGTCGAAAACCGTAGTAGTCTTTGTGGCCTCGGTGTCATAAAGTTTTTGAAATGTTTGACCCCCAAAGGCGAAATCTAAGTCTGAGACGAGAGTGTCTGATCGATTTAAAGCTCTCTGTCTTCACGTAAAAAAAAAAATAATTTTCATCTCTTTATGCTGCAGAAAAAACCCAGCACTGTTCCAAACAATTCGTGCCTTTGAGAAGATTTCTGACGATTTGTGTAGCAGTAATAATATTGAATATATTTGTTCTGTGGCTCGAAATATTCAAAAGCTGGTTAATTTTTAATAAAGGTTTGAACAGTTGAGCTGCAAATGAGTATCGAAACCCTAGCAGAGCTCTATACCTCGGTATACGTGTATAGAACCCTGCTTCACGTCAAAATCATAGAAAATCTATCAAGGAGATATCAGAAGTGGTTTTCCACTGGCATTGGCCATAGTCGCTGTAGAATCTAGTGAGAAAAACTAACATACCGTACCGAAGTGGAATGGAGGTGTATAATTCGAGTTTTAAACGCACTAAAGATATGGTCTCAAACTAAAATTTCTGCCTTTCCGAACTTTAAACAAAGTTCGATTTCGAGTTAGAATAAACATCGAAGCTCCGCTGCAGCCCTAAGTATTGGTAGAAACACGAAAATGGATTAAGACACAGTGAGAAACTGAGATACTTAGCGTTGAAATAGACGACAATGGCGACAGCTACGACAACGAAGGACGAAAGACGAAGACGAAGGCGACAAGTATGACAGCAACGATGTAGGAGTACATATATACATGTATATGTACATACGAGTATGCAACATCGAAGATGTCACAACTCAAGCGATGCGCCATTGTGATAGGGCGAGCCTCTACGCCAGCAAAAGGATTTCGGGCGACACTCATACAAATAGACAGTGTATGTCTCATATATACATATGTATATGTATGTGCATGTATATGTATAAAACATATGTGTAACTACACAAACAAGAATTGACAAATACAATTACATGCAACACGATGCCTTTGTGATGGCCATGTGGTGCTTGTTGTACTTGTTTGTATTTGCTATGGAAATGGACCAGCAAAGTAAAGTAAGACAAATTTGATATGCATCTTCGCAAGTGTGACTGACTAGAGCGAGAGAGAGCTGGCGTGCTATTTTCCACACGCATACGAGTACGTCCTTCCAAAATCTTCGCATTCTCCTTCTGCTCCATCAACTCGGCGCGCCGCGCGTACAGAACGTTAGATGGATCACCCATTTTTTTTTAGGTAATGAAGTGTAATGCAACATTGGAGTCGACCCAAATTTTCGTCTTACAAGCATAAGGAAAATGTTGACAAAATATGCACAAAAACAACAAGAAATAGAACTCTCTTACAGTGCAACTCATTCTTTTTTTTTTGCGTTTGAAAGCATCGAATTACTTAGCAATGGCAATTACGTAACTGCAGGGATTCAGAGAGAGAGAGACAAAGAGTGAACGGCTGAAAAAGTTCTAAGCAAGTTTGGTGGGAAGTCATGTAGAAATAAGATAAGTTTTGTAATTACGTGCGCTTGAGAGTTGTAATGTGTTGGAAGTCTTGAAAGACATAAATTCGAGAATTAAGATTTCAGTTGCGGAAAATCTGCAAAATGACATTCATGCTTTACTTAAAGAGCAAGCAATGTTTATTCCTTTGCTTCTTTTTAAATATAATATCATAAACAGAAATATGTACACCTCTTTTGAGACAAAGGTGTAAGGTAGATGTTGTTGTTGTATTCATTTCTCAGAAATTTTGCGGGAGTGACGCACTTGGCCGTATACAAATCCTGGTTGTTCCGGTGTGAAGACTCAACTGTGAGGGAAGTCTTGGATTTAAGTCACCTCTTACGACAGACAGCCTCGGTAAGACGGCAAAAGTCTTGAATAGCGCTTTTCAATAAAACTTATTTCCTTTCGAATTGGCACAGGTGCTAAAGCAAACTAAATAAAATCATTCCTGGCGAAGGGGCTCTTCTCTAAGAGTCTTCTATTCAAGGGATATTTTGTCTCTTATTTTTATCGTACGCAAACTCCCCCCAGGGACGACTCGTCAGAAGCCCTTTTTGTCCACGCTTCTACACCATATAGCAAGACATGATTTATGGCCGACATGTAGAGTTCAGTTTTTGTTCATCTAACTTTTCAAATGTTTACTTAATCCAGAGTAGCAGCTATTGACAAGAGTGAATTTCCCTCGGACTACAAGGCTGACATTGTTGCTGGTTCATAGATAGAAGAAATTATCTACGAATTGCAAATTATGTCAACTGTGACATGGGTGGCATAACAAGATATTTTTCCTTGTCCTCGTTTACTACTAGAACCATTCGTTTCACTTCCTTATAACCTTACCCAACCAAATGTACTGAGAGTGATTCCCATTTCGGTTGGAATTTTCATACTAGAAATATTCAATATAATGGAAAATATTGAAATATTGAGAGAGCGTTTTTTTCTCTCCACTGTTTAGGAACTGAGCTGTAAATGTACCGGCTGGTTGTTTGATGACAGGAGATATTTCGTATTGCCTTCGCTCACTAGCAGACCCATTCGCTTCGCTCCTTTGACTAAGCAAGAGAGGAGAAAGCAAAACTACCGCAATGATATCAATATCTTGGCACATGTCAGCATTTGCTTTGCATAAAGTCCAATTGGTTCAAGAACCGAAACCTAACAACGTTCGTTGAAGTTCATGCTCACTTCGACGTCTACTTTAGTAAGCAAAACAAATGGAGGGACCTACAGTTTATGCTAAGCCACACCTGAGGGCTTTTTGTGAGGAGCCAGTATTTCATATCAGAAATAGAAGAGTTGACATTCCCTGCCGAGGAGCGACTGGTCGAACCAGGCCTCCCAATGGCAGTACGGAATGCTAACCACTCGGCTACCGCGGCTGCCGACAGAATGGGGTACTGCAGTACCAGCCGCTACCGTCATAAGAATGAGGTGGTGTTCCACTAACCGAAATGTTGAGGCATTTCAATAAACACGATACAATTGAAAAATGTTTATCTGTCTTTTAAAAAAAAAAATTTACGCAAAATTTTCGTGACTCATTGTTTTGTGAAGGATCATTGCGTCGTACAACAAAAAAGTTTTTTCTTTTTTGTAAATAATATTATAAAGACTACTTACTTCTAATCTTTTCCTGAAAAGATTTAAACAAGTTGTGGTTCCAAAATAGCACCAGTAGCTTACCTGAAAATAAAAAAAATTATAATTTAATTAATTTAAATGCACAAAGTTTTTTTTATAAGATACATAGTTATGTACACATACATACATATACAGTACGGTTCATTTGTCTATACGCAGTACATTTTATTACAGGGAATTCTGATTAAAACTACTGTATTCATCGCTTGATGGGATTTCAGACCGACCCGTTTGAACCAATAACTAGAATTGGATCACTTCTAGTTTCAAATTACTTAAAATTTTCAAAAACTTATGGGTTTAATTTACAACGATATCCATTTGTTTATCACTCAAGATAAGGGGTTTCCGGGAAAAAGATCTATTTTCAACAATTTTTTTTTATGAAAGAAAGTAAAATATTTTATTGAAATTATTTAAAGTCTCAAAGATAGAATAGAAATAGAATTTCAGAAATTTGCAAAGGAAATCATACATAACTCCGCCGTTGTGACGTCATTTCCGGTAACACCTTAAAAACAGGAAAAAAGAGGCGTCTGCATTGACAGTAGAAATCATTACGAAATCATCCCAAAGGAAAAAAAGGAAATCGTATTTTAGTTTATACCATAAATGAGAGCGTGGAAAATAAAAAGAAGTTAAAAAAATGATATGTAAATATTTTTTAATTTTTCTTAATATAAAAACATTTTTCTTCAATTCACAAGTTTTCAGTTGCATCAAGTGGCATAATTGCACAAAACTGTGGCATATAAAAATTTAAAAAAATTACCCCACATCGTGCCTAATTTGACTAGATGCTCACACCACCTAGCGGGGCTTAGAAAAGATGCCAAATATATGGACGGTACTTTGCTATCTATACAAATAAGCCTTCAAAATCTTTTAGAAACCCCCACTCAAAACTTTGTAAAAGTTGTCGAAATCACTGATATCATTAATATCGCCCAAGATAGACAGAAACTTAAAGGCATAATCGGCCTAGGGCTGTAACTAGCCATCTTACATACCTTTCGTCAATAGCGACATATTTTAAGAAAGCGCCATGTAAATACCGTTACTGGCCGTATAATTTATTACAGTCTTCATTAGGTATTCTGAACAAGCAATGCTGATAAAAGGTTGTGAAATCAGAGAAGGCGAAAACCCTGTGCACGGGAAATCTTCTGTTTTGGGAAATTTATTTCGGAAATTATGTTTTCTCAGTTTATTGTTATATTTTTGATATTCCAATCATATATTCCAGGTGTAAAGTTTGCTTAAATCAATAAAACCGGTTTAAATAATAAAAAAAAAAAAATTAATTACTAGCTGTTCTTTTTAAGCTCAACCGCTGAAGAAGAGACCGGAAATTTAAATGTTCATTGTAAACTGTGGCGGTCGTTGTCGAATTTGTGTTACGCGAAGTTCCGGCAATTTGCATATCATCTACTGATGGAACATGTATACACGAGCAGATTCCTTGTTTGACACTTCAGGAACTCTCTCCAAATCTTTTAGCGTATTGCTAATGTCGCGCTGCGGCTCATTGTTATCATCATTCACACCAAACTGGATTTAACAACTCTTCGAATCCCAACAAATTCGCAACAGATTCTCCAAAAGCCCCAGTAAAATGACTGACGATAAGAGACAATAAGAAACAACAAAAAACGATGGTGATAACGGTGACGAGCAAAACCAAAACACAACATCGTCATCTGACGACACGGTTGAGAGCACACCAATGTTGCCGTATCGTCAGTGAAATGACGATAGCCAGCCAGTATTGGGTCTTATACTTCTTGACAAATTAGAAAATATTTTATATAATGAGATATGTCATACATTCGATGTGCCAAAAAAACCTGGGCCTTTGGTCCAGGTTGATGTTTTTAAATAATTAAATGTATTTGTTATTAATTTTTATTATTTCTACCTTCATGACACTGCAAATATAATATAATAAAAGTTACACTCTTGAATTGTTTAAAAAAATTGAAAATCAAATCAAATGCATTTTATAAACTCTTCATAACGTGAAACAACTTTTTCTTGTCACACCTCAAAAGCATTTACGAGACGAGTGCATTAACCTGAAAATGGCACGCTTATAACTTTAGTAAGCTTCAGTTAAACTTTTATGATTGAATAAAAGAGATAATTCAATAAATTTTCACTTTGCGAAAACTTGTAAATTTATTTATTTATTTATTTTTAAATTTGTTAATGTTATATACGAGTATCTATATATTTCATTTGTCATGTTTGTCTGCTGGTTTTTGCTGGATGTGAAAAAGTTATGCAGTCATGTGGAAATTGAGTGATGAACAGGACGCAAATACATATATATATATATACATATATAAAAATTTATGATTATATATACATATATATATTTACTTGTGCATAAATAATGTAAGTGCGAAATTTATCTTCTATAAAATATGCTCTGAGAGTGTTTTTTATATTTCTTTTATATCTTCTTAATGAAATAAAGGGTTTTCCAATTAGAGATGTTACTCTGAATAGCCAGATATTCCAGTAGATGTCTCTTTTGAAGTTGCAATTTTTGAAATCATTGAAATTCACTATAAAAATGATGAAAACCTGGCATAGGCGATTTGTAAAACCAAACCATTTTTCTGTCGTGGTGAACCACCTCAATACAGAAATTGGTGGAAAAAATGTAGCTGTTGGGACGAGTAAATGATGTGAAGAGTAAATCGCGTGCACCACGCTCAAGAGCAACTGAGAATATTGCTGAATGTAGCCCAAAGTCTTGAAGAAAACCCATTCCTCGTCCTTCTTTGGAAATGGACATTCTACACACGACATAACAACGTATTTTGCATCTTATAAATTTCAGTTAACACAAGAACACAAGCCAGCCGATCATCAACAGTTTCGTTTTTTAGCTTATTGGATCCTTGAAATGCATGAAAATGATTGGAAATTTCATCAAAAAATCATTTTGACTGATGAGGTCTGTTCCCATCTCGATGGCTACGTCAATATGCAAACCTGTTGCATCTGGGGCACGGAAAATCTGAGATTTATTATTGAAAAGCCTCTCCGCCCTCAACGTCTAACTCTTTAGTTTGGTTTATTGATCTGGTGGGGTCATTATAACTGACTTTTTTCGAAAATGGGGCTGGAGTTAAGGGGTTACGGTGAATGGGTTGCGCTATTGAGAGATGATTAATGATTTTTTATGGCCGGAATTGGATGTTATTGATCTAGACAACGTTTACTTTCAACAGAAAGGCGCTACGTGCCACACCAGCAACGAAACCATTGATCTTGCAAGGACAATGTTTCCGGACCGTGTTATCGCTCGAAGAGGTGATGACAATTGGCTACATGAAAGATAAGGTCCACGCCAATTGGCCGTCGTTTCAGGAATTCGTGAAGCTATTGGGGGCATACAGCAGCCACTTTGCTGTTTGGTGATGGAAAATTCCACAAATGGGTACGGTTCTGAAATATACATCCTCTTATTTGTTTCAAAAAATACAATTTTTCTTTGAATATCAAAATTAGATCTCTTATTGGAAAACCTTATTTTTATATATGTCTGTGTGTAATAGCTGACAGCAAGAAACAAACAAGCAAACAAACAAACATTTAAAGAAAAATGCAAAAATTTGTTTAATGCACTTCCCGTAGAAATGCTACAAGTAAATAAATGAATGAAAATCTTTTACTCAATGAATAAAGTTATGATGGAAATGCATTCAAGTTGAAGTGAAGTTAAATGCGGGAGAAAGATGAAATAAGTAAAAAAACTTGCAACCGCTACGCAGGCCGGAAGGGGACGGGAGACAGAAGATAGCAGGCAACAGACAAGCAAAACTTTCAACGAGAGATGGCAACAAATAAGGTGGAAATACCAAGCAGGAAACTAAATGACACTGAGTGACTGCTGGAAATTAAATGATAAGAAAAGCTAAATGAAAGAAAATTATATAAAGAAAAAAGTGAAGTGAAAAGAGTAGAAGCAGTAAAAGAAGAAGAAGACAATGGCATTAGGCTAGGAATTTAATCAGTGACAAAATGTGAAATTAAAAACGGAAATAAGTGTAAGGAAAGTGTCTAAAAACCAATAGTTGGCACTTCAATTAACAGGCGCGTAGAAGAAGAGGTGGGCAAAGTAAAATTAAGTAAAACAAAAATGTGAAAAAGTTGTGAAAAAGAGATTGTGAATGAGGCAAACTGACAGCGCTTGCGAATTGCACTAATTAATCTTGCACAAGTTCAATAGCTTGCTAAATTTTTTTAACTGGCAATATTTTTTTCGTTGCTACTTTTGCAGCGCTTCTTTCAAATTTCTTCTTTTGTTTTTTTCTACTCTTTATTTTTTTAATTTTTTTTCTACTCTTTATTTTTTTACATTTTATTTGTCTTTTTTTATCTTTTTATTCTTTTTGCAGTTTTTTTTTTTTGATTTTCTCCCTCTCCTATTTTTTAGCACTCCTTCGGCATTTATTCACACTCCCCTTCAATTGCTTGCACTTTATTGCACGCCATTTCCGTTTGAGCGCTTCAAGTGAGTTTTGCACCTTTTTCTACCATTTTAGCTACTTCTCTTTGCTTGTACGAATACTTTCGTTAACCAATGTATGTGTGTACATAGCTCCTCTCTTGCGCCACCTATCCAATTCGCGTGTGCCATATATAAATTTCTCGCAACTATATTCGTTGCTGTCATTTCCGGACAATATTTTTGTGTGCAAATTTTTTTATGGTCATACTTGCATGTTTGCTGGTTTAAAAATATACTGACAACAACTATTACTGTATATGACCAACAGTAATGGCCGAGGGCCAGTTGAGATTTGCTTATTTCATGCAATGTGCCTTTTACTTGCAAATGATATTCCTGTCGTATCCTTGGCCTTATTCGCTTGGTGTTGCAAGCACAGGGTGCAAGAGCAGGTTTCTTCGAGTTGATTATGGTAAGCCACAAATGTGTTCTTCATGCAATATTCAACACTTTAAAATCTGCATTTAGGCACAGAAATAGTGACGCTATGTGCCTTAGAGGATCTAAGTGTTGAGCG